GGGGGGAATCCGTGTGTCAAATTTGTGTGATTCTTTTATCTGAGTTTTGAGAGCCTGAAATCGGTTGTTGGTCATTTTCTTGAGTCTGTTGAAGCAGCTACGTCTATTTCTCTATTTTGGTTTAGGGTTTGTGGAGATTTTGGGTGTACAAAAGGGTACAATGTTATTTCTGAGCCCCAACGATCAATTTCTTATGACAGTGATGAGTTCATGATGTTTTGATTCGAAGAATTCTATTCTCTGTATTTTGGGTATTTTTCAATTCGAGTCGTAACAATGACGAACGAAGAAACTCGTGAAATGTCAATCACGTCTACAAAGCATACGAACTGAAATTCTTATTGAGACGAGAATAAGAAAATAGAATTACGGAAGAATACTAGTTTGATAGTGCTGTTCAGAATCTAAACAACCGCCTAAAGAAAATATGGCATAGCACAACAATATAATTGACTAGGAAAGAAATTATTATGGGCACAATGCAGAGTCACAATGGCCATTCAGAATTAATTTGTGCCCATAACTAGCAATAAATGGTAATCATATTCCAACGCTACCGTAAAATCTATACCCCACTAAATGCTTTAACCGCAAACTTTCATGGTATATACAAGTATATAATAACGAGCAAGGGCAATACGAAAAGGACAATACTCACTAAAGCACGTGTTCATTGAATACTAACGTTATGAACCCAAAACAAGTCCCTCTCGTGTAATATTGGTCACGCGAAGGACAGCTTGAGCACTCAAAGGCGATAGCTTTGATTGACAGAAATTCTCCCAAGAAGCTATCTCTGGTTCCTCGGACATAATAGTTGGTTTCAGGACATGAGTTTTCTCGTACACAGATTGCAGCTCCAACAACAGAGTACGAGCTGCATCCCTGGACTCAGGAAGCCGGTCGCTAAGCTGGGATGCACCTATTTGAATCAATTTGTCAATCCCAAATGCTTCTATCCTGTCAACTCCCTGGAAATCATGTGAGCCAAGCACAATTAATCATTTATCAGAATAAGGTTTGACATCCAGAAGACGAGACAGGTCTTTACTTTGTAACTACTAACGTCAGAAGTCAGTTTGGAAGAAATATTGATTTAAAGGAATTAACCAAGTAAAACTTAGTTGACACTTGACACGAGTGCTTACCAACCGAGGGACACTTCGACAAACGCATATGGAAGTCTTTGCCCGGATTCGAGGGTTTCTGTTCTTGATATAAGGTTCCAGCTTGGGCAACAATAGAACAGGTGAAACCCAAGTGGTCAGAGCTATCAAAGCACTTTCAGCTGCCTCGCACACGAACTTTTTGTCTTGTGAAGATTTCAGAAGAAGTTGTACAAGCTAAACAAAGGATAACAATGTTGTAGGTAAAGAATATAGAGTCATTAGCCCATACAAAAGCATATAGAGAATATACACATTATATGAATTTGGAAGAAAACGAATTACCAATGGATCCAGTGCATCAACGATATCATCACTGTATGCTTTGAAAATATCGGCAGAAGTCATAATAGCAGTTTTACAAACAGCACTTCTTGGATTCTTGAGCGATTTCACTATTAAGGACATCACATCTTTCCTGCATCAAAATGCAGGAGTCGTGAAATAGAAAATTCACAAAATGCAGTTCTAAATGGCATTGCACATGTTTTGCCAATAAAAGAACCAAATAAAAGATGAACTCACAACATGCCAACAATTAATTCCTTGTGAAATATAGACAATCGGCGTACGTCATTAAGTGCCTCACACACCGAAACCCAGTCTTTGGAGTCTAGTCTGGATAGAAGTGTCTGAAAACCAAAACAAGAGAGAAGTATGTGGGTTAGAGGTTGAGTATTTTTCTAATGCAATATGCTTATATAAATGTTATCATGTAAAGAGACATTCAAAGAATTTGTAAGCTTCATGGCAAGATGCTAGGACAGAAAGCATTCCGACCTTCAGACAGTTCTCTACGTCTTCTACAGGATTCAAATTCACAGATTCAATGTATTCCACTTCTGAATTCCCCACCTCGACTCCATTGTTCTCTGTCCCATCTTTCTTAATGGGACTTACAACAGAGTCTGTCTTTATCTTTTGACTTTCTTCAATGTTTTCATCCTTGTGCTGAACCTGAGAATTCACGACATTTCCATTACCAGAGATTCCATCATTCCTCTCTGATTCAGGTATTGTATTGACCGCAGTCTCTGACATTATTTAGGTCGTGGATATCTGACAAAGAAGGAATAAAAATTGATATCATATTTCCATCAAAAGAGTTTGGCATCAAACCCATACTATTGTTCCACGGAAATCAAGAATCCTGCAAGTAAGGTTGTTCCAGGAAGATCAAACCCTCATCCTCGCTGTGTGGTACACTAAAAGTATCTATTTAAACGAACTATTGAAATCATGGAAATGTTCCTTCCATGAACATGAACAACAGAAGATCATTAACTATTTCTCAGCTTTCTATTCAACGCTGATCATACCATCTAGACACTATATCCAATTCCTTCCCCAACTTGCCAGCATAGTACAGCAATGTGTGACTGTCAATGTAGTAGGTGTAGCAAATCCAATCCACCAAATTAGAAATGATAAAAATATCAATGCTGTGTGAAACACTCTCAATTATAAGAACACCTAATTTTGAACCCAATTTCCCACAAAATATACCAAATAAATCAACTTATTCATTTACTTTCCATATATTCACACGCACTAAAATCAATGTTCACCAATCACTCAACTACACCATAAACCAAAAAATCCAACTAAATCATCAATAAAAAAGGTAGACATCAACAGAGACATATCAATTAATGCCAATTACCATGAAGATCTGTCACTCCTCAATCACTAAAACCAACTACAACGAAACAAACTAAAAAATACATCAACTAAAAGATCTCACTTCGCATGATATTCATTAATCATTAACTTCAAACTATGAATTCCAATGATATATCGCGTACTCCTAAAACAGATTCAAAGTTCAATGCCTTGAAAAATCACTTGAATATATGCATACTTTTACATACGTACATAAATATGTATATACAGAGAAATTACCTAGAGCGAAGTGATTGGTGAAGCAGCGACGGAAAATGGCAGATAAATTGATCGATAGATTCGTGAATGTGAGAATCACTGCGTGTGTTAGAGAGAGGGATATAAAGAGCGAGAGAGAGATTTATTCTTTTTCATAACCGGCAGTAAAAAGAGACGGCGTGTTTTTGTCGCCCGACCTGAGCCGGCAGGGTCGCATAATTTACAGGGTAATTAAAGTTATTATTATTTTTTTTTTCACACCAAAATTGCAGCTAAACTCCTTCATCTTTGCTCATTATAGCAATTATTTTTTTTAATATTTTTCGTCGAATCTTTATCTTCAAACTTCCATTAATTAATATATCTCATCCTCGATGATAATTTATGTTAAAATAGTTTGTTTTTATGCTTTGAAATGAAGGGAAAAAATATTTTTTCGTACTTTTGATTTATTAATTTTTTTCTTAAAAATATAATGAAAAAATAAGTTGTTATACGTTATTTCAAAGAAATTTTTGTGCATATATTTTATCAAATACAAAATGTATTAACTAATTGAATGTTTGAATATAAGAATGCCATGAAAATTCATAAGGGATATAAAAGTTATAAAGAGTAAAGATTGAGATTTACAAGTGTAATTAAAATGTGGTTAAAGAAATAAAAATAGTGGTTTTTGCGTCAAAAGTCAAAACTGCCCCTACCTTGTTAATTTGGGTTAAACGAGATTTTAAATAGGTTAACGGAAATAATTGAAAGTTGAGGCTTCAAATTTCGAACTGACGCTTCAACACAGGGAAAGCTAATTTGAATTGATGTTACATCAATTTTGAATGTGATCCCATTATACAGTTCAGATCAACAGCTACTAAAAGAGGGTAAATTGCACCAGAGGTTACTTAACATCAATGTGGTCCAATCAAGCCATTATATTTTAATTTATGAACAATTAGGTCTTTCCTTTTGGGTTCCGTAGATGAGCCTACTGACTTGTCCGTCAAAACTGACAAAGTGCAGTGGGCCAATTTCCCATGCCGGATGTCACTGAACTTTTGTTATACTTGTAACCACGCCATTGTACTTTAATTTACAAGCAATTAACTAGCTTTGTTTAGGAGAGAGAAGGATGAAAATTGTAGAGTTAATTCCATATTTTTAATTGGCGCAACAATCAGATAAATCCTTATGACGTTATACACAGATAATAATCCAAGTCACCATTAGTTTATGCAAGAATTTTGACGTATTTCATGTTTTTATTCGTAAATATTTTCAATATTTTCACGTTCCTCTAGATTTTTCTTTACTTCCCTTGAGTATGTTCCTAATGATTTATGTAGGGTTGTCACGAGTTGGCTCGAATCGAGCGGCAAAATTATATTTGCATGAGCATAGTAGTTCGTGCAAGAGCTTGTCAGCTCGTCACCTCATGAGTGAAAATGTAATTTTTCAGTTTTTAATAAACCAGAAAAATAAAAAAGTTAGCCCCAATATTAATGAAGTTCAAAAATGGTTCTTATATTGGGCCATGAAAACCTTGTTAAGATAAACTTTGGAATGAAAAAGGAGTTGAAGGCCAAAACTTTGGCATAGCTTGTGATCGCATAATGACATGCAGGGCTTATATGCCACGCAAGAGATTGACCTATGCGATCATATACTATTGTTCTAGAACTGAAGGATGGTTTTTGTTTCAATTTTTGGTGACATTTGGTGAAAAGTTTGCAACTTTTCATGGTTCTTTGGCACCATTTCGTGGGTGTTGATTGAAATCTATAAATACGTATAGATTATCACATCATAAATACAATTTTCAACAATTTAAGATCAAATTTTCATTCCAAAAGACAGAATTTATATTCTTTCATTCATATTCAAAATAGTGTTCTTGAAGTTTTGATAGAAAATACTAAATGCTTAAGTGTTTTTCTATTGCAAGGCTTAATGGGACAAGACAAGTTGAAGTTCCACCTAACGGAGTTGAAAATCTTCTACATTCTTGTTCCGGAGTTGGCACCACTTAATGGCGTTGAAAATCTTCTACATTCTTGTCCTGGAGTTGGCACCACTACCAAAACCAATAAATGGAGATACTGATGCCATAAGAGCCGAAAGATAAAAGCGTCAAGATGATGAATTGATTTGCCACGGTCTAATACTCAATGTATTATCAGATTGGTTGTATAATCTCTACACCAATACATCTTCTGCGAAAGACATTTGGGATAAGCTGAAAAACAAATATAAAGTCGAAGAAAAAGGTACAAATTAATTCCTAATTTCAAGGTACTTCAACTTCAAATTCCTTGATAATATTCCCCTTCTTCCCAACTTACATGAGTTATAAGTTCTTGTCAATAAGTTGAAGATGGTCAAAAGTGAGTCCCAAAATCTTTTCAAGTGAGAGCAATCATTGCGAAAACTCCCGAAAACTTGAAAAGGATATTGAAAGAAAGTCATGTATGATTTTCAAGATTGCTCTTTGGAATAAGTGCAAGAACATTTTCGAATTGAGAAAAAGTCAAGGACAAGAGATAATAATGACAATTCTTATGAAGATACTTCAAAGGCCAATATCGTGGAAAAGACCGAATTTTCAAATAAATCCAACAATAGAAAACCTTCCAAAAACTTTAACAAGTTTAAGAAGAAGTCTAAAGGAGGTTTCCTTACATGAGGAAAATCCAGAACAAGATGCAAAAGAATGTCGACACCGAAAACAAAAAAAGATCTGAAGGAAAAATGAACTCCATCAAATAAGACGATATTGTGGCCACCGTAAACGAGATCAATACAATCAGGGGAAAAGTTCTTGGTTAGTTGTATGATACATGTGCAACTGTATATGTATCATGTGATAAGTCTTTATTCAAGACCTATTATGAAGTGGATAGAAATCAAGAGATTCAAATGGGTAACTAAGGCCATTCTAAAGTAGTTGGAAAATGAATGTAGAGATTATTTTCACTTTTGAAAAGATAGTTACTTTAACAAATGTATTACGTGTTCTTGAAATGAATAGGAACTTAATTAGAGATAATCTCTTAGAAAAATCGGCCATAAAAACTATTTATAAGTCTGGCAAAGTTGTAATATCTCTAAATGAAAAATTTGTTGAAAAAGACTATTCTAGTAAAGAAATGATCAAAATTTTGTACTATTGACAAAATTATTAATAAAGTTGATTTTGTTTATAATGTTGATTCATTTACCTTATGGCATATTAGATTATGTCATATAGGTTAGAGTACCATAAATAGAATGTTAAAATGTGACTTAGTATCATATAATGAAAATGATATATTTAAATGTAAAACATGTATAGAATCTTCAAGAAGTGATGGAGGAGGTGAATATTTTTTAGTGATTTTAACCTGTTTTGTGAATAATAATGCATAATTCATCAAATGTTTTGTACCTTGGATGCTCGAACAAAATGGTTTGTCTGAAAGGAGAAATAGGACATTAATTGAAATGATAAATGCCACGTTAACTTCAGCTAAGCTACTACTTAATTTATGAGATGAAGCATTGTTGAGTGCATGTAGAATATTAAATAGGATTCCTTCTAAATTTACAAAGATTTTTCCTCATAAATTGTGGAAATGTAGAAAATCTAACATTAGATACTTTAGAGTGTGGGGATGTCTCGCATATTGTAAGAACACAAACTCTAATAGGACCAAGTTAAATTCAAGAGGCATTAAATATGTTTTTATTAGTTTTGGTAGTAATAACAAATAATATTGATTGTTAAATTTAAAGACCAATGCACTAACTGAATCAAGTGATGTTGTGTTCTTTGAAATTTCACTATCTCGAATAACGAATTTAAGGAAACTCATAATGAGATCTCTAGCTCGAGTGGAACACAAGATGAAACATCTTTTAAAGATGTGAATGAATATAGTTAAACCACGAAGAAGCAAAAGAACTCGAATTGACAAGTTTTTATGATTGGATGAAATTGACTCTCAACTTATTTCATTTTACCTAGTAAAATGAAACGAGAATAATGTTGTAAGAACAATTCTTTCGTTCTACAAGTGGAAACTAATCCTAAAATTTATAGAGAAACTATGACTTCTCGTGATAGCATCTTCTGGAAAGATGCAATTAAAGATGAAATGAATTCAATTATGTGAAATGATACATCAAAACTTGTAGATTTACCACACAGATCTAAACATATTGGATGTAAATGGGTGTTTAGGAAAAAATACAATGTTAATGGTTCTATCAATACTTTAAAACTAGATTAGTAGATAAAGTGTATCGACAAAAAGAATAAATAGATTGCCCTTGTTTGAGCCCCATTCTTTAAAAAAAAAATGAATTTTTCAATAGTATTTTAACCTCATTTCAACCACACATTTTTCAATAAAATAATATTACACGTAAATCCAAAACTTTTCATTATTATTTAACTACACATTTCCCATCAATACACTATTCAAAAATTCATTCTTTCTACAAAAATGGGGCTCAAACAAGGGCAATTATTTTGATACTTATGTACCGGTAACAAGAATAACTTCAATTAGGATCTTATTCTCTTTAATTTCGATACATGACTTGTATGATCATCAAATGGATGTCAAGATGATATTCTTAAATGGGGATCTCGATGATAAGGTTTATATGGAACAATACGAAGGGTTTGCTCTACTTGAAAATGAAAATAAAGTGTGTAAATTGGTGAAATCGTTATACAATTTAAAGCAAGCACCTAAGAAATTGCATGTAAAATTTGACTTAGCTATTAATTCATTTGGTTTTCTAAATTATAGTATAGATAAATGTTTATATTCCAAAATATATGATAAATATATCCCTACTATATAAAAAGGGAATGTGAGGGCACTGTAGAAAGCAACAGCGTCTGGATCCATCTTTACTGTAGTATTTTTGTTTTTTTTTTTTCAATTGGGGGCCAAAAACGACGTCATTTGCTTGATATATATTTTATTTTATTATACACCACCTCCAAATTTACTGTAACACGCAATTTTCATTCCTCCCCTACTTCGATATGGATATATATAGTAGAGATATAAGAAAAAAAATCACTTTTATATAAAAATAAATAAAAAAGATAGAAATAATATGTGAGTAATTTGTTTACATCATATTACTTGTAAGTAAAAAATTTGAAGAGAAAAGAATTAAAGAGAATTTTAAATTGAAAAAAAAATTATAA